CGGCTGCTGCAGGTGCGGGCTGCTCTAGGGGCGGCTGCTGCACTGGCGGGCGGCTCCAGGGGCGGCTGCTGCAGGTGCGGGCGGCTCCAGGGGCTGCTGCTGCAGTGGCGGGCGGCTCCAGGGGCGGCCGCGGGGGGGGAAAACGCACGGCCCCCAGGGCGCCCCGAGGGGCGACGAGAAGGGAGCCGCGCGCCCCCTCCCGGGGCGCCGCGACGGGCACCAGGGAGGGCGCCGCGACGGGCCCCCAGAGCCACCTCGACGGGCGACGGGGAGGGCGCCGCGCGGCCCCCCCGAAGTCGCCTCGACGGGCGACGGGGAGGGCCGCGCACGGCCCCCGAAGTCGCCACGACGGGCGACGGGGAGGGCGCCGCGCACGGCCCCCGAAGTCGCCTCGACGGGCGACGGGGAGGGCGCCGCGCGGGCCCCCCGAAGTCGCCTCGACGGGCGACGGGGAGGGCCGCGCACGGCCCCCGAAGTCGCCACGACGGGCGACGGGGAGGGCGCCGCGCACGGCCCCCGAAGTCGCCTCGACGGGCGACGGGAGGGGACCGCGCGCGGCCCCCGTGGTCGCCACGACGGGCGACTGGTGGGGAGGCCGCGCGGGCCCCCAAGGTCGCCTCGACGGGCGATGGGAGGGGAGGCCGCGCGGGTCCCCGAGGTCGCCTCGACGGGCGACGGGGGGGGAGGCCGCGCGGGTCCCCGAGAGCGCCTCGACGGGCGCTTCGACGGGAGGGGACCGCGGAGGCCCCCCCAAGGGCACCACGACGGGCGCCACGGAAGGGAAAACCGCCAGGCGCCCCGAGCGCGCGGCGGGCAGAAATTAGGGTTTCGCCGCCGCGCACCACGGGGCGCGCGGCGGACAGTACGGCAGCGGAAGCGGGTGGTGGGCCCATACACAGGAAGGCGGCAGACATGCCGCCCTCTGATACCATGTCAGAAGTAGTAGGAGTACGGCCTAGGCTTAGTAGCCTAGGCCACAGTAGGACTAGTAACGAGGAGCCAAGTACGAGCTAGGATTGTGTGCAGGAACAGAATTGAGAAGGAATGATTGAACTAGCAAGCAGCAGGATACAAATGGCAAACCCTAAGGGGCTGTACTCACTATAGAGTACCCCACTGCAGGCTACACAAACAACATATTCTGACAGAGACAGGAGTCCCAGAACGGCTACTGGGGGTCTGGGTGACGCCGGACGGAGAAGCAGGCCCATCCTGGGAGAAGGCATGGGAAAAGGGGAAGAAGGAGTTAGCGAAGTGGGAGAGCCATCATCTGCTGACAGCTGCAAGAGTGACGATTATCAACAATTACATTATGCTGATTCTTCTGTTTCAAGTGCAGATTTACCCGCCGCTGGAGGAACTATGGGAGAGGATCCGGAAGACGTGTGACAACTATGTATCAAGAGGGGAAGCGACGGCGGAGAAGATCTTCGTATTGTGGAGCGGAGAGCTGGCTCGCCTGCCAAAAAAGGAAGGTGGACTGGGGTTAGTCGACCCGAAGGAACGGATTGATAGCCTGGCTATACGGCAGGTGGGGAAATTTCTCACGGAGCAAGACGTTACCAAACGGTGGTTGTCGGAGAAGGCGGCGGCACTTCCGCAGGGAGTGGCGACCTTTTTCGCCCACAAGTCTGCTGGTAGACATTGGGGAAAAGGTAGCAAGAGGTGGAAGGCGATAGCAGAAGTTTTCTGGGAGTCCCCGTTTGCAGACCTTCCGGCGCCATCGAATGGGTGGGAAGCCGAGCGCGAGATGCTATGCTTCAACCGGAAAATTATGTTCAAGGGGGGGAGCCCGTTCGGGAACCGCCAGGGGGCAGCAGGAATCCGGACAACCAGACTGGGAGACCTGCTCATCACTAGGGGAGATGGTAGCAGGGAAGTTAAAAGTGTCAAGGAGCTAACAACAGATTTCGGAAGCGTGGCATCGGGGAGATGGGCGAGAAAAGCGTATGAGGCGATCCCTGACGAGTGGAAGGCGATGTTGACGGTGCAGAGGTTAGCGGGAGCAGTGGTGGCAGCAGCAAAGGTGGTGCGAACATTTCTGGCACAGGCGCAGAAGTTTCTTTACTGGACGGTAAAGGGGGTCAAGGATGAGGAGGTGGCTACCGACCATCTGGAGTGTCCGGACGGCGCAAGTCTGGTGGTGCCGCAAAGACCTTACGCGGTTTCGTTCCCTGTTAAGAGTATAACCCCGGTGACAGTAAAAGGGGGGAGAGTGCTTGGCGCGATGGGCGAGCCGAGAGCGAAGCTGTGCCTGACATCGCTGGTAGGAGACGATATGAGGCCGGCTGCACCGAAAGCGATTAGGAGGGCGCTGGCAGGGCCCGTGGTGACGTCCAGACGGAGACACGAATGGGAAGAGGAGTGGGGGAACAAAATAGATTGGAAGGCGGTCAGAGAAAGAAGGGACTCGCTGGTGATCCCGTACAGAGCAAGAGATGTGCTGCTGAGGATGCACAGCAAGAACCTGCAGGTGGGGGGGAGGCTGGTGTTTCTTGGAGCCAGGGGGTGCTGCCCACACTGTGGAGAGCCAGAAACCCTAGCTCACTGCATGCTCATCTGCCCAGTCATCCAACCGGTGATCGGCGCGCTGCTGAGGTCATTGGGGATCATAAACCCAGCAGACCAAACGAGGACACTGGGAGACATGCTGTTTCAGGAGGGGGCCACGAAATCCGGGTTTCCAGGGGCGACGTTGACAGCAGTGACAATGCGCAGGATTTGGTTGGCCAGAGTGGATGCGGTGTACCGGAAGGAGAAATTTCAGAGGAAAAAGGTGGCACGGGCGGCAATCTATGACTTCATGCGGCATGCGAGGCTCTACAGAGCGGAAAAGTTGAGGAAGGCAGGTGGGGGGGTGAGAAAAGGGCAACCACGGGACCCATGGGGGGGGCCGGAAGGAGATGAACGTGCGGTGATCGCGAGGATCTGTGAGGCAGGGGAGCAGGCCACGTGGAGGATGGGCTTCCTATCCATATGGCAGAACCCCAAGACGTTTCATCGGCCACCGTAGGCGGATGCAGGGGGGGCTGCGCCGGAGTCTTTGACTGCAGTTTGCATGCTTCCCTCTGGAATTCAGTTACGACTGTGAATGTATTTGCATTGGTATAGTGCAAACTCGTTCTTAAAAAAAAAAAAAAAAAAAAAAAAAAAGGCGTGTTCTATAACCATGTCGATATTTTTGGCTAGGCTAGTTGACAGTGAATGTTGATTGACATCGCCATGCCATACCTCAACATTCCAAAATGGGTTGTGGTAACGAAGGTCGTATAGACCCTGATTGTTTGTGAGACCCGCCAATCTGAATACGTAGGGAACACCTCCGAAAGTTTCACAACAGAACTCTTGTACACCCCCGAAATATTATATGTTTTGCAGTTTCCCTTTGGCAAAGTTTATGTAACGTCGGGGTGGGTCCGTCCAGATTCAGCAAATGGGGAGGCGGGTTAACAAATGGGGTTCCCCCTAAAACCTTTACCTTTACCGTCCAGATTCAGCAAACCTCGTGCGTAACTGCCATTGCTGCGACTACTGATTGTGATGCCCTTTTCGCCTTTCGTTGGCCCTTTGTTTCATCCTACGTATCGTGTTTTTGGAACCTGGCATGCAGCTCGAGAGAGGCACCCTCGTTGTCGGCGACTCCGTGATCTTTCATGCTAAGTTTTCGCACCCTGTCGTTTGGTTTTCCACGTTAAAAAATCTCTGACGTTCTTTCAAGTCCGAGCGCTTGAACAAATTCGAGTCTAGTCTAGAGATGGAAGGGGGTCCTGGTGGAAGTCGAGAAGGGAAGGTTAGCTCGTAAATTGTTAAGTTGTGGATTAATACTTAACGATCTAGTCAAAGGACACTATTCCTACACTTACGATACGCCACAAGTCACGGCCGATGGATACCAGGTAGGTCCTTGAATGCGGAGGGATTTTCGACAAAGTACAGCTAGCCACCTGTCAGCCGATATTCTAGTCTAGCGAGTCAGTCACACGACGACACATGAAACACTACAGTCCACACGGCACACTGTTCTTGCTGCCAAGCGCGGCGTGTTTTGCTGCGAACACTGCGACGCGAAGACTGCTTGTTGTGGTGGGCATTGGGCAAGAGCCAGCTCGCCCTGCCATAGCACACCCCCACCTCAGGCCAATATCACATCTTCTCATCTCCACCATATACCCTGCACGTTTCCCACTTATGATCTGATGTGATGTACAGTGCATTCTGTGTCCAGCGCGGTCGGAGTTCTTTTGACAACAGTGAAGCGAAATGAAAGCCTCAGTCATGGGCTACAGTCCCCAAGGATGTCGCATATTCGCAATAATCTACACCTAGAAATAATTTACACCAATCTCCAAGAAATCAGAAACATTATACCTTAAGAAACACAATAGTTTCTCAATACCATAACTCTTAATTCCTTTGTACAAAACCCGCATAAACAGACAGCGAGCATTTAGAGGAGGGTCACGATTTCTGTAAACACAAAGTGTTAGAGCACTATGAGTGCATCAACTCCAGTGGTAACCATGTGTGCTGGCAACCCATCAACGAGGAGAGAATTTAGGTATGGTACATGTGCTGAGAGGCATGCACACAGGGGCAAGGGATGCAGGAGAGGAAGGGTTCTGAAAGGTTAGATAGCGGTTCATACTAGTTTAGTGAGGCAAGTGGTGAGAATGGAAGTGGAGGTGTGTATTGAGAGAAACTTGATTTAAAACGTTGTCAGAAAAAAATACTGTAAAAAAAAACCCACAGCACCATGGTTGAGGGGGGGTTTGATTGAGGGATGGAGAGGAGACAAAAGGAGGGTGAGGGAGGGCGGTGAGAGAAAGAGGATGACGAGGGAGAAAAGGGGGGAAGAGATTGGGAGGATGAATGAGAGAAGTGGGAAGGTAAGAGGAAGCTGCGGGAGAGAAGAGAGAGAGGAAACGAGGAGGGACATGAAGTTTGGCAAGAGCATGGCAAATTGGAAACATAGCATCGGACCAACATGGCAACATGCCCACTTATCCACATGCCAGCTTAACAGAGCATATGAAGCACCAGGGGGGCATGTGGCAGAATGGAAACAAGGAACGAGTTGAGAGAGTTGAGATTGCTTCGAAATACCATACCCGCCATAGTTCACGGGCGGTACACTCACCTTTGTCCTCTTGCTGAGTAGACTGGGCGGCAATCTCACCTTTGTCTTCTTGCTGAGGACATTGGGCGGCACACTGATATTGCCACTGAGATCACAGTACCTGTGAAGAAAAAGCATGCATGCATGGGCAGACGGATGGATGGATGGATGGATGGATGGATGGATGGATGGATGGATGGATGGATGGATGGATGGATGGATGGATGGATGGATGGATGGATGGATGGATGGATGGATGGATGAGGGTATGAGGGGGTGGAAATGACGAGGGGGTGTGACACGAATGTACGAGAAGGAGATTGAACGGGTTTAAGAATTTGAGCAAGAGCATGGATGGTGAAAGCAGGAGAAAAGAAAAAACTTGGTAGGAGGCAGAAAGGCACTGGAAAAATGACCAATATGGTTATAACACAAGGAGAAAATGTGGAGGTTGAAATAAGCTTGTGGCCTGAAGAGGACTGGAACACAAACCAGGAAAGTCAATGGAATTCCGAATGTGGGGGTTGAGTGAATAATTGCTGTTGGAGAGATATCAATGGGATACGAGTAAATGCGGTTTGTGGACTCACTTTGCAAGTTTGAGTTGCTTCAGAGCCGTTCTGATGTCCTCTGGTTGAATGGCCGTGCTCTTGGATAGACTCTGATGGAGGGAGGTGGGGGGAGGAGACCAGTGCAGGGAGGAGACCAGTGCAGGGAGGAGACAAAGGGGCCTGAGGGCCCTACGGATGTCCTCTGGTTGGATTGCCGTGCTCTGTGACAGACTCTAATGGAGGAAGAAGTGGGGGGTAGACAATTGCAGGGAGCAGAGAACATAGGGGCTTCACGGCCCTAAGAGCGGGGGAACACATAAAAAGGGGCTCACGGCCCGACTTCTGATGTCCTCTGGTTGGATTGCCGAGCTCTGTGATAGGCTCTGATGGAGGAAGAAGAGGAGAGGAGAGCACACAAGCGGGGGAATCCACACGTGGGGAAGCAGGCAAGTGGGAAGAGTGGACAAGTGGGGGAGAGGATGAGTGGGGAAAGAGAACGAGTGGTGGTAAAGGAGGGGGCACTCTTGCTGATGACGCAGGAGGGGCAAGGAGAGGATAAGTGAAGGGATGATAAGCTTATCATCCCTTCTCTGTTGGTCCGATAGAGATGTTGAGAGTGACCAGACACTGTGATGCGATGCACTCAGTTAAAGTGTGAATATGCGCAGTTCTAGACACCGTGCTGGGATGTTGAACACCAGGAAGCGGGACTGATGAGACAGCAGGAAGGGGGTGATGCGTTGATGGGAGTGGAGGGAGAGGTGTTTATGCACGAGGGGGGAGGAAGGACGCAGGAGGGAGGCGGGAGGAGGGAGGCGGGAGGAGGGAGGAGGGAGGAGAGAGACGAAGCGTAAAATACGAGGCCATACATTGATGCTGCAGCTTCCTTGAAGCTTCTTCAAAGAGAGCAGCAGCTGCCAGCGCCAGTAGCTTCTGAAGGCCACCTGAAAGCATGGAGTCGGGGAGGCGTGGAGGAGTTATTTTTGAGCGGGGGAGGAGTCGGGGAGGAGTGGGGGAGGAATGGGGGGGGAGTGGGGGAGGAGCGGGGGAGGAGCGGGGGAGGAGTGGGGTAAGAGCGGGGGAGAAGTGGGGGAGGAGCGGAGGAGGAGTGGGGGAGGAGTGGGGGAGGAGCGGGGGAGGAGCGGGGGAGGAGTGGGGGAGGAGTGGGGAGGAGTGGGGGAGGAGTGGGGGAGGAGCGGGGGAGGAGTGGGGGAGGAGTGGGGGAGGAGTGGGGGAGGAGTGGGGGAGGAGCGGGGGAGGAGTGGGGGGGAGCGGGGGAGGAGTGGGGGAGGAGTGGGGGAGGAGCGGGGGGAGGAGCGGGGGAGGAGTGGGGGAGGAGTGGGGAGGAGTGGGGGAGGAGTGGGGGAGGAGCGGGGGAGAAGTGGGAGAGGAGCGGGGGAGGTGCGGGGGAGGAGTGGAGGAGGAGTGGGGGAGGAGTGGGGGAGGAGTGGGGGAGGAGTGGGGGAGGAGCGGGGGAGGAGTGGGGGGAAGCGGGGGAGGAGTGGGGGAGGAGCGGGGGAGGAGTGGGGGAGGAGTGAGGCAGGAGTCGGGGAGGAGTGGGGGAGGAGTGCGGCAGGAGGGCGGCAGGAGGGCGGCAGGAGGGCGAGAGGTGGTGTAAGGGGGAGATATGAGGGGAGGTGGAGGGAGAACTTATTGGAGGTAGAGGAGTGGGGAGGAAGGGGGGTAGTGAAGTAGAGGGGAGCAAGGGAGAGGGCAGAGGAGTGCATGTGAACATGATAAGACTTGTCACGGAAATGAAAGGGATCCCATCTATCCACAAACCCACCATCACCAACCGACGAACCCTCTAACCCGTCAACCTCTCTCCGTCGTGACTTCCACCCCAGCAGCCCAACCTTGAGTCGATTTTTGAGTCGACTAAAAAATCAAACCAACCCCCCTAACTCACCAACCTCTCTAACTCTCTCTCTCACTTCCACCCCAGCGGCATTGCTTTGAACTCACACTGCCGAGGTCAGAGAGGGGGGGCTTGGGCACCAGAAGCTGCTGACGGGATGCTGCCATTTCATAGGCTGAAAAGGGCACATACCGATAGAGGGGAACGAGATGTTTCGAAAACCTTGAGTAGCGGGATTGACATGCCGAAGCTCAAGAGAGTCATTGGAGAAGTGGGGGTATAGAAAGGGGAAAATATACCGAAAAACAACTCCCTCAGAATATTTGTTTTTGGGAAAAACTCTCGAGAAGCATCTCTTGGAGAGATTTTCTCTGAGCTCTGAGAAGGCAAAGTTTGAGATGAAAGAAAGAGAGTCAGACCTTCTCTGAGAAGAGTGCCAGTGACAGGGGTGAGAGAGGAGGGTAATGAGTCATCTGCCAAAACGCCACATGCAGGCAGGCTGCGAGCACGTATGCAACAGGCGGCTTTCTCACCAATCGAGAGGTGTGATCGCATATTACCTATATGTTTATGAACATATACATATATTTGTAACGTAACGTAAAAAAACAGAGAAATAAAAGTCATACATATGTCGATTCAGAGGAGGCATTGGCTAAATGAGAGTCGATTCTGCGAATTCAGGTTGCTCACCAACTGAGAGGAGCCAGCGGCCGAAACCACGCCGCTGGTAGGGAGGCAGCACAACGACGCTGGAGAGATGCACCTCCGTGAGCAGTGATGGTGGTGGTGCTGGCGATGGCGATGGTGATGGCAATAGTGACCTCCGAGGCACCTCAAGCGGCAATGCTGAACCTCCTCCTCCTGAGTCCCCTCGTGGGTTGGTTGCTGTGCCTGTGCCCCCGTCCTCCATCCTGCGCGAATCACCCGGCTCTTGAGGCACCTGTGGAGTCGCCTCGGGATCACACGGCTTCTCAGGTGCCTTTGGAGCAGCCTCGGCCTCTGTTACGAGCCTGCCGGCCTCTGCTACGAGCCTGTGTGAATTGGTTGCTTCAGTGCCAGCTGCTGGAGAGTCATGCTTGGGCGGTGGGGAGGCGGCAGGGGGACACTCCTGCAGTCAGGGGAAGAGGAAGGGGAAGGGGAGGGGGAGGGGGAGGGGGAGGGGGAGGGGGAAGGGGAAGGGGGAAGGGGAAGGGGGAAGGGGGAAGGGGAAGGGGAAGGGGAAGGGGAAGGGGAAGAGGAAGGGGAAGGGGAGGGGGAGGAGGGGAGGGGAAGGGGAAGGGGAAGGGGAAGGGGAAGGGGAAGGGGAAGGGGAAGGGGAAGGGGAGGGGGAGGGGGAGGGGGAGGGGGAGGGGGAGGGGGAGGGGGAGGGGGAGGGGGAGGGGGAGGGGGAGGGGGAGGGGGAGGGGGAGGGGGAGGGGGAGGGGGAGGGGGAGGGGGAGGGGAGGGGAAGGGGAAGGGGGAAGGGGGAAGGGGGAGGGGGAGGGGAAGGGGAAGGGGAAAGGAAAGGGGAAGGGGAAGGGGAAGGGGAAGGGGACGGGGAGGGGGAAGGGGAAGGGGAAGGGGAAGGGGAAGGGGAAGGGGAAGGGGAAGGGGAAGGGGAGGGGGAGGGGGAGGGGGAGGGGGAGGGGGAGGGGGAGGGGGAGGGGGAGGGGGAGGGGGAGGGGGAGGGGGAAGGGGAAGGGGGAAGGGGGAAGGGGAAGGGGAAGGGGAAGGGGAAGAGAAAGGAAAAGGAATGGGAAAGGAAGGGAAACGAGAAACAGGAATAAACAGGAAGAACATGGCAGTGATGGTAGGGTAACCATGGTGCACGGGCTGGGATTTTGAGAGCTCTCAAATGTGACTTCCATGTTGAAAGGGCCTGGGCTCTAATTTTAAGGCGTATAAAGTAACCAATGTTGTGCTCTCATTGATGAAGATGAACACACCAGTTCACCAGTAACCAAGGTGCAAGACTGCAAGTGCAAGACTGCAAGTGCAAGACTGCAAGTGCAAGACTGCAAGTGCAAGACTGCAAGTGCAAGACTGCAAGTGCAAGACTGCAAGTGCAAGACTGCAAGTGCAAGACTGCAAGTGCAAGACTGCAAGTGCAAGACTGCAAGTGCAAGACTGCAAGTGCAAGACTGCAAGTGCAAGACTGCAAGTGCAAGACTGCAAGTGCAAGACTGCAAGTGCAAGACTGCAAGTGCAAGACCCGGGCTTGTGAACTGGTGTGGTGTGTTCATCAATGGGAGCACAACATTGGTTACAACAGAGTTGCTGGCACCAGAGTGCTCAATGCTCATTGTCAACATTGGCATACTTAACGATGAAAGCAGGAGCGCTATGACCCTTACAATGGCGAAGTAGCCAATGAGAGTGTGCCACGTGTCAGAACCCCTTGTGAGGACATAGAACGTGTGGCCCTCAACGGTGTACACCCGTGGCTTGTGTTCCAGAAAGAGCTTTCCAAGGAGGGACAGGCACTGCAAGGGATAAGGAAGTTTGGAAAAGGGAAGAAGGAAGAGAGGAGGGTTAAGAACGAAAGAGCATGCCGTAGTGTTGTGGCTGTACTGCGTGTGCACCCGTGGCTTGAGCACCAGAAAGAGCATTCCCAGGAGGGACAGGCACTGGGGGGAGGAGGTTCGGAAAAGGGGAGGAAAAAGGGGGTCACGGGCCAGGCAAGGGAGGGGGGAGGCGAATACAGGCAAAAATGGAGGGAGCAAATGAGGGCAATGTGATATAAGCAGTCCAGTTATGAGATGTCACAAAAGGGGAGGGGGCGAATACAGGCATTGCCACATAGGCAGTTCAATCAACTGAGGAGGTTAAGAACGAGAGATTAGGACCACCTCCTTCCCCTCCCCCCCATCTACCTCCCTTGGTTCACCTGGCAGTATAGTTTTGCATGGGCTGGATCAACCCTGAACACATGCAGCATGGCGCCTCCACTCCCACCGCCAGTTCCCCTTCCTTCTCCATGCTCTCCCTTTCCAAGCTCTACTTCCTCTTTTCCTCCACCACCCTCTCGTTCTGCACCTTCCAGAACCGCATCAAACCCCTTGCTCTCTGCATCTTTCCGTCCTCCAACTGACGCCTCCCGCTCCTGCCCCTGCGCCTCACCCTTGCCCTCTCTTCCCTCCCCACCTTCTCCCTTCCTACTTCCTTCCTTCCAACTTCCTTCCTTCCCACTTCCTTCCCTCCCAGCCTCTCCATTCACACCATCTCCCTCCTGCTTCCCCTCACTGCCCTTCCTGTCCGCGTCAACATCCCTGGCAGACACACTGTTGCCCATGCCAGCCACGTCAGCAGGTGCCCTTTCCAGGTCAGCATCCTTGGCATCTGACCCAGTAGCAGCAGGGGCAGCAGCAGCATCTGAACCAGACGTTCCATCGTCTCCTGCTCCCACGCCCCCTCCTGGTACTCTAAACTGCAGCCCTGCAAACGCCTCTGCTGCAGCAGCAGTTTCTGTGCCTGTCGCTGCAGTCCCTGTCTCACTCCCCTCTCTTCTCCCCCCTCCTCCCCCTCCTCTTCCCCCTCCCCCCTTCCCCACACCCACATCTGCTGCATATCCTGCTGCTGCTGCTGCTGCTGCTGCAGTTGCCACAGCAGCAGCTGCTGCAGAAGCAGCCAAATTGCCATCCACCCGAGCAATACCACCAGCAACAGCCTCCCCAGCAGCAGCAACCACACCTCCACACGCCTCTGAACCTTCCACACGCCCATCTCTACCCCTCCCGCCTTCCCTTCCTGCCATCGGTTTGCACTCTTGAATGCCTTCGCCAACCTCACATGCGTCTGCTGCAGGGAAAGGCATGGCAGGAAGCAGCACGTATTGTTTAGGCGCCTCAAAGTTAGACCCACCACACTACGCTTCTGCTGCAGGGGCAAGTGTGGCAGCAGGGGCAGGCACGGCAGGCAGCAGGAGAAAGCGTGACAGCAGGAGTGTTACGTGGAGGAGAAATAGGGTTACCAGCAGCAGGCTCACGGGCAGGAAGTGCAGCGGTGGGGGCAGCAGGGCCAGGGGGAAGGAGCCTGGCACGGTAGACCTCCTCTCCTGGCGGAACAACCTGCTGGCACTTCTCCTGGTCGGTGGAATTCGGTTACAGGGATAAGAGTGCACAAGCAAGTGAACTTAGATTCGCCTCCACATACCTAACCTGCAGGCATTTTGCCTGGATGGTGGCATTCGGTCGAGGTTTTAAGAGACATGAGAGACGATTAAGAGACCAGCAGCTGGCAAGGACGGGCTTTCGGGGCTGAAGCTCTGGTTCATGGTTTAGGGTTTGACGGTCAAGGATTAGAGTCAACTCACCAGATGTCGCTCGTAGGCTGCTCTGGACTGGTGGAGTACTTGAGACAGGCAGAAAAAATGAAGAGGCGAGTGAGCCGTTTTCGTAAGAATGGGGATTCGAGTTCTAGGGATTAGGGTGCAAGGTTTCGGGCTTTCAGTCTTGGGTTTAGAGGTTCCAGTTTCGACTCACCAGGTGTCGCTCGTAGGCTGCTGGAGTACTGGAGTATTTGAGACAGGTGTTACAGATGAAGAGACGACCCGTGTCGGTGAGATGCGGTGGGTATGGGGAGAAGTACCTGCCATGTGTGCCAACATTGAGATACACGCAGCGCATGAATACGCAGTTGAATTTTGAGTCAACTCAAATAATAATAATAATAATAATAATAATAATAATAATAATAGATAAAAAGACTTTTGAGTCGCCTCAAATGTGGTGGATACGGGGAGAAGTACCTGCCATGTGTGCTGACATACATACATGCAGAGCATGAATCATGTACGCATGAATGCACGTGCGTGTGTACGTGCACACACGCACAAAAACACGCACCCAGCATGTATGTATGCATGCACGCACACGCACCGACACACACACACACACACACACACACACACACACACACACACACACACACACACACACACACACACACACACACACACACACACACACACACACACACACACACACACACACACACACACACACACACACACACACACACACACACACACACACACACACACACAAAAAACGCCAGAAAGACTATGCGCAAGATGCAACGAGTCGCCTGACAATGCCTGCTGCCAGCTCATCACGAGTCAATCTCGTGTGCCCATCCCATTCAACTCACCACTCCGACCTGCCCACCCCCCCTCCCTCACGTCACACCCCTATCCCACAATCAACACAAGTCAATCTCATGGTCACCAATCTCATGGTCACCAATCTCATGGTCACCAATCTCATGGTCACCAATCTCATGGTCACCAATCTCCTGGTCACCAATCTCCTGGTCCAATCTCATGGTCACCAATCTCATGGTCACCAATCTCATGGTCACCAATCTCATGGTCACCAATCTCATGGTCACCAATATCATGGTCACCAATCTCATGGTCACCAATCTCATGGTCACCAATCTCATGGTCACCAATCTCATGGTCACCAATCTCATGGTCACCAATCTCATGGTCACCAATCTCATGGTCACCAATCTCATGGTCACCAATCTCATGGTCACCAATCTCATGGTCACCAATCTCATGGTCACCAATCTCATGGTCACCAATCTCCTGGTCACCAATCTCCTGGTCACCAATCTCATGGTCACCAATCTCATGGTCACCAATCTCATGGTCACCAATCTCATGGTCACCAATCTCATGGTCACCAATCTCATGGTCACCAATCTCATGGTCACCAATCTCCATGGTCACCAATCTCATGGTCACCAATCTCATGGTCACCAATCTCATGGTCACCAATCTCATGGTCACCAATCTCATGGTCACCAATCTCATGGTCACCAATCTCATGGTCACCAATCTCATGGTCACCAATCTCATGGTCACCAATCTCATGGTCACCAATCTCATGGTCACCAATCTCATGGTCACCAATCTCATGGTCACCAATCTCATGGTCACCAATCTCATGGTCACCAATCTCATGGTCACCAATCTCATGGTCACCAATCTCATGGTCACCAATCTCATGGTCACCAATCTCATGGTCACCAATCTCATGGTCACCAATCTCATGGTCACCAATCTCATGGTCACCAATCTCATGGTCACCAATCTCATGGTCACCAATCTCATGGTCACCAATCTCCTGGTCACCAATCTCATGGTCACCAATCTCATGGTCACCAATCTCATGGTCACCAATCTCATGGTCACCAATCTCCTGGTCACCAATCTCATGGTCACCAATCTCATGGTCACCAATCTCATGGTCACCAATCTCATGGTCACCAATCTCATGGTCACCAATCTCATGGTCACCAATCTCATGGTCACCAATCTCATGGTCACCAATCTCATGGTCACCAATCTCATGGTCACCAATCTCATGGTCACCAATCTCATGGTCACCAATCTCATGGTCACCAATCTCATGGTCACCAATCTCATGGTCACCAATCTCATGGTCACCAATCTCATGGTCACCAATCTCATGGTCACCAATCTCATGGTCACCAATCTCATGGTCACCAATCTCATGGTCACAATCTCATGGTCACCAATCTCATGGTCACCAATCTCATGGTCACCAATCTCATGGTCACCAATCTCATGGTCACCAATCTCATGGTCACCAATCTCATGGTCACCAATCTCATGGTCACCAATCTCATGGTCACCAATCTCATGGTCACCAAATCTCATGGTCACCAATCTCATGGTCACCAATCTCATGGTCACCAATCTCATGGTCACCAATCTCATGGTCACCAATCTCATGGTCACCAATCTCATGGTCACCAATCTCATGGTCACCAATCTCATGGTCCACCAATCTCATGGTCACCAATCTCATGGTCACCAATCTCATGGTCACCAATCTCATGGTCACCAATCTCATGGTCCACCAATCTCATGGTCACCAATCTCATGGTCACCAATCTCATGGTCACCAATCTCATGGTCACCAATCTCATGGTCACCAATCTCATGGTCACCAATCTCATGGTCACCAATCTCATGGTCACCAATCTCATGGTCACCAATCTCATGGTCACCAATCTCATGGTCACCAATCTCATGGTCACCAATCTCATGGTCACCAATCTCATGGTCACCAATCTCATGGTCACCAATCTCATGGTCACCAATCTCATGGTCACCAATCTCATGGTCACCAATCTCATGGTCACCAATCTCATGGTCACCAATCTCATGGTCACCAATCTCATGGTCACCAATCTCATGGTCACCAATCTCATGGTCACCAATCTCATGGTCACCAATCTCATGGTCACCAATCTCATGGTCACCAATCTCATGGTCACCAATCTCATGGTCACCAATCTCATGGTCACCAATCTCATGGTCACCAATCTCATGGTCACCAATCTCATGGTCACCAATCTCATGGTCACCAATCTCATGGTCACCAATCTCATGGTCACCAATCAATCTCATGGTCACCAATCTCATGGTCACCAATCTCATGGTCACCAATCTCATGGTCACCAACTCCTGGCCACCAATCTCATGGTCACCAATCTCATGTCACCAATCTCATGGTCACCAATCTCATGGTCACCAATCTCATGGTCCACCAATCCTCATGGTCACCCAATCTCATGGTCCACCAATCTCATGGTCACCAATCTCATGGGTCCCCAATCTCATGGTCACCAATCTCATGGTCACCACTCATGGTCACCAATCTCATGGTCCACCAAGATCTCATGGTCACCAATCTCTGGTCACCATCTCATGTCAACAATCATCATGGTGCACCAATCCTCATGGTCACCAATCCTCATGGTCCACCAATGCCCCCCCCCCTCATGGTCACCAATCTCATGGTCACCATCTCATGGTCCCATCTCATGGTCAACAAATCTCATGTCCATCTCATGGTCACCAATCTCATGGTCACCAAATCTCATGGTCACCAATCTCATGGTCACCAATCTCATGGTCACCAATCTCATGTCCATCTCTGGTCACCAATCTCATGGTCACCAATCTCATGGTCACCAATCTCATGGTTCCACCAATCCTCATGGGTCACCAATCTCATGGTCACCAATCTCAGTGGTCACCAATCTCATGGTCACCAATCTCATGGTCACCAATCTCCTGGTCACCAATCTCATGGTCACCAATCTCATGGTCACCAATCTCATGGTCACCAATCTCATGGTCACCAATCTCATGGTCACCAATCTCATGGTCACCAATCTCATGGTCACCAATCTCATGGTCACCAATCTCATGGTCACCAATCTCATGGTCACCAATCTCATGGTCACCAATCTCATGGTCACCAATCTCATGGTCACCAATCTCATGGTCACCAATCTCATGGTCACCAATCTCATGGTCACCAATCTCATGGTCACCAATCTCATGGTCACCAATCTCATGGTCACCAATCTCATGGTCACCAATCTCATGGTCACCAATCTCATGGTCACCAATCTCATGGTCACCAATCTCATGGTCACCAATCTCATGGTCACCAATCTCATGGTCACCAATCTCATGGTCACCAATCTCATGGTCACCAATCTCATGGTCACCAATCTCATGGTCACCAATCTCATGGTCACCAATCTCATGGTCACCAATCTCATGGTCACCAATACTCTCATGGTCACCAATCTCATGGTCACCAATCTCATGGTCACCAATCTCATGGTCACCAATCTCATGGTCACCAATCTCATGGTCACCAATCTCATGGTCACCAATCTCATGGTCACCAATCTCATGGTCACCAATCTCATGGTCACCAATCTCCATGGTCACCAATCTCATGGTCACCAATCTCATGGTCACCAATCTCATGGTCACCAATCTCATGGTCACCAATCTCATGGTCACCAATCTCATGGTCACCAATCTCATGGTCACCAATCTCATGGTCACCAATCTCATGGTCACCAATCTCATGGTCACCAATCTCATGGTCACCAATCTCATGGTCACCAATCTCATGGTCACCAATCTCATGGTCACCAATCTCATGGTCACCAATCTCATGGTCACCAATCTCATGGTCACCAATCTCATGGTCACCAATCTCATGGTCACCAATCTCATGGTCACCAATCTCATGGTCACCAATCTCATGGTCACCAATCTCATGGTCACCAATCTCATGGTCACCAATCTCATGGTCACCAATCTCATGGTCACCAATCTCATGGTCACCAATCTCATGGTCACCAATCTCATGGTCACCAATCTCATGGTCACCAATCTCATGGTCACCAATCTCATGGTCACCAATCTCATGGTCACCAATCTCATGGTCACCAATCTCATGGTCACCAATCTCATGGTCACCAATCTCATGGTCACCAATCTCATGGTCACCAATCTCATGGTCACCAATCTCATGGTCACCAATCTCATGGTCACCAATCTCATGGTCACCAATCTCATGGTCACCAATCTCATGGTCACCAATCTCATGGTCACCAATCTCATGGTCACCAATCTCATGGTCACCAATCTCATGGTCACCAATCTCATGGTCCACCAATCTCATGGTCACCAATCTCATGGTCACCAATCTCATGGTCACCAATCTCATGGTCACCAATCTCATGGTCACCAATCTCATGGTCACCAATCTCATGGTCACCAATCTCCATGGTCACCAATCTCATGGTCACAATCTCCTGGTCACCAATCTCATGGTCACTAATCTCATGGTCACCAATCTCATGGTCACCAATCTCATGGTCACCAATCTCATGGTCACCAATCTCATGGTCACCAATCTCATGGTCACCAATCTCATGGTCACCAATCTCATGGTCACCAATCTCATGGTCACCAATCTCATGGTCACCAATCTCATGGTCACCAATCTCATGGTCACCAATCTCATGGTCACCAATCTCATGGTCACCAATCTCATGGTCACCAATCTCATGGTCACCAATCTCATGGTCACCAATCTCCTGGTCACCAATCTCATGGTCACCAATCTCATGGTCACCAATCTCATGGTCACCAATCTCATGGTCACCAATCTCATGGTCACCAATCTCATGGTCACCAATCTCATGGTCACCAATCTCATGGTCACCAATCTCATGGTCACCAATCTCATGGTCACCAATCTCATGGTCACCAATCTCATGGTCACCAATCTCATGGTCACCAATCTCATGGTCACCAATCTCATGGTCACCAATCTCATGGTCACCAATCTCATGGTCACCAATCTCATGGTCACCAATCTCATGGTCACCAATCTCATGGTCACCAATCTCATGGTCACCAATCTCATGGTCACCAATCTCATGGTCACCAATCTCATGGTCACCAATCTCATGGTCACCAATCTCATGGTCACCAATCTCATGGTCACCAATCTCATGGTCACCAATCTCATGGTCACCAATCTCATGGTCACCAATCTCATGGTCACCAATCTCATGGTCACCAATCTCATGGTCACCAATCTCATGGTCACCAATCTCATGGTCACCAATCTCATGGTCACCAATCTCATGGTCACCAATCTCCTGGTCACCAATCTCATGGTCACCAATCTCATGGTCACCAATCTCATGGTCACCAATCTCATGGTCACCAATCTCATGGTCACCAATCTCATGGTCACCAATCTCATGGTCACCAATCTCATGGTCACCAATCTCATGGCCACCAATCTCATGGTCACCAATCTCATGGTCACCAATCTCATGGTCACCAATCTCCTGGTCACCAATCTCATGGTCACCAATCTCATGGTCACCAATCTCATGGTCACCAATCTCATGGTCACCAATCTCATGGTCACCAATCTCATGGTCACCAATCTCATGGTCACCAATCTCATGGCCACCAATCTCATGGTCACCAATCTCATGGTCACCAATCTCATGGTCACCAATCTCATGGTCACCAATCTCATGGTCACCAATCTCATGGCCACCAATCTCATGGTCACCAATCTCATGGTCACCAATCTCCTGGTCACCAATCTCCTGGTCACCAATCTCATGGTCACCAATCTCATGGTCACCAATCTCATGGTCACCAATCTCATGGTCACCAATCTCATGGTCACCAATCTCATGGCCACCAATCTCATGGTCACCAATCTCATGGTCACCAATCTCATGGTCACCAATCTCCTGGTCACCAATCTCATGGTCACCAATCTCATCTCATGCGTCACCAATCTCATGGTCACCAATCTCATGGTCACCAATCTCATGGTCACCAATCTCATGGTCACAATCTCATGGTCACCAATCTCATGGTCACCAATCTCATGGTCACCAATCTCATGGTCACCAATCTCATGGCACCAATCTCATGGTCACCAATCTCATGGTCACCAATCTCATGGTCACCAATCTCAATGGTCACCAATCTCATGGTCACCAATCTCATGGTCACCAATCTCAGTGGTCACAATCTCATGGTCACCAATCCAATCTCATGGTCACCAATCTCATGGTCACCAATCTCATGGTCACCAATCTCATGGTCACCAATCTCATGGTCACCAATCTCATGGTCACCAATCTCATGGTCACCAATCTCATGGTCACCAATCTCATTGGTCACCAATCTCATGGTCACCAATCTCATGGTCACCAATCTCATGGTCACCAATCTCATGGTCACCAATCTCATGGTCACCCAATCTCATGGTCACCAATCTCCATGGTCACCAAATCTCATGGTCCCAATCTCATGGTCACCAATCTCATGGTCACCAATCTCATGGTCACCAATCTCCTGGTCCACCAATCTCATGGTCACCAATTCTCATGGTCACCAATCTCATGGTCACCATCTCATGGTCACCATCTCATGGGCACCAATCTCACTCATGGTCACCAATCTCATGGTCACAATCTCATGGTCACCAATCTCATGGTCACCAATCTCATGGTCACCAATCTCATGGTCACCAATCTCATGGTCACCAATCTCATGGTCACCAATCTCATGGTCACCAATCTCATGGTCACAATCTCATGGTCACCAATCTCATGGTCACCAATCTCATGGTCACCAATCTCATGGCACCAATCTCATGGTCACCACTCTCATGGTCACCCATCTCATGGTCACAATCTCATGGTCACCAATCTCATGGTCACCAATCTCATGCGTCACCAATCTCATGGTCACCAATCTCATGGTCACCAATTCATGGTCACCCAATCTCATGGTCACCAATCTCATGGTCACCAATCTCATGGTCCACCAATCTCATGGTACCAATCTCATGGTCACCAATCTCATGGTCACCAATCTCCTGGTCACCAATCTCATGGTCACCAATCTTCATCGGTCACCAATCTCATGGTCACCAATCTCATGGTCACCAATCTCATGGTCACCAATCTCATGGTCACCAATCTCATGGTCACCAATCTCCTGGTCACCAATCTCCTGGTCACCAATCTCATGGTCACCAATCTCATGGTCACCAATCTCATGGTCACCAATCTCATGGTCACCAATCTCATGGTCACCAATCTCATGGTCACCAATCTCATGGTCACCAATCTCATGGTCACCAATCTCATGGTCACCAATCTCATGGTCACCAATCTCATGGTCACCAATCTCATGGTCACCAATCTCATGGTCACCAATCTCATGGTCACCAATCTCATGGTCACCAATCTCATGGTCACCAATCTCATGGTCACCAATCTCATGGTCACCAATCTCATGGTCACCAATCTCCTGGTCACCAATCTCCTGGTCACCAATCTCATGGTCACCAATCTCCACTGTCTCGACGTTATTAACTCGCATCTGCCATTTCAGTGGAGCTGCCCCTTCACCTGCCCCCCAACCTACCTCCACACCTGCTAACCTCCCCTCCCTCTCACCTTATCCCACACTCACCAAGTATCAATCTCATGGTCACCCATCTCCACCGTCTCAACATTCTTCACTCGCATCTGCCGCTCCCACGCAGCCGCATCCCCACCTGCCTCCCCACCTGCCTCCCCACCTGCCTCCCCACCACCAGCCCCCTTCACCCCTCCTTCGCCTCGCTTGTTTGCTGCTGCTCGATCGACATTCGTTCCCGCACTTCCCGACTCTACACCTACACCACCACCGCCACCAGCAGCAGAGCCAGGTTCCTCTTTCACACCTAAAGCCGCCCTGGTGTCTGGCTTTTGAGGCGCCTGGAGTGGCCCTGCTTGCAGGCTTGGGCCAGCAGCAGCAGCGTCTGGCGCGTGTAATCGTCTCCTCTTAGGCCCTGGAAAATCCACAACAGCCACAGAAGCAGGAGAACAAGCATCAATGAATGGGGGCCCAGAGTAGTATATTCTAAGGCGCCACAAAAATAGGAAATAGAAACACATAGGAGAACAATAATCTTTAACAAACCATCGCATGGCAGCACAACTTGCGGCACTCTAAGTGCTTGCACGCAGTCTTTGAAAAAAAAAACAAAAAAAGAGGTAAGAAAAACGCTGTCTCACCATCTGCAGCTGGGGAGTGGGCCTTTGTGTCCACGTCAGCAGCCAGCTCAGCCGGCCTCTTGACATCCACGTCAGCATGCCCTTGACCGTGGCTTTGGATAAGCTCATCATGCACATTCTCGTGGCTGTGGTTGTAGGCATGCTCACGGACATGGCCATGCATGTGATGATCCGGCTTTGAGTCTTGAATATGCTTTGAAACATGATCATGCTTCAGGTCATCATGGTAGCTATGGTCGTGCACATGCATATGTCCATGCACATGCCCATGCACATGCTCATTCCCATACCCATGCTCATTCCCATACCCATGCTCATGCCCATACCCATGCTCATGCTCATGCCCATCCTCATGTGCATCCATGGTGGTCCATGGCTCCACTCGGCTCTCCCCCACCCACTCGTCCAGCCGCTTGTTGTCTGTGTCCCTTGCGAGGCGCACGCGCACGGGGGAGGGTGGGACAGGGGGAAGCGGGAGTGGGCAAGGATGAGAGAGGGAGTGAGCGGGACAGCGGGGGGGGAGAAAGAGGGGAAGGGGGGCTGTCGTGCATATGTGTACAAAGCCATGCTTCCCATGGCCACGCCCATCCTCATGTGCATCCATGGTGGTCCATAGTTCCACTCAGCTCTCCCCCACCCACTCGTCCAGTTGCTTGTTGTCTGCATCCCTTGCCAGGCGGCATGGGGACATGGAAGATGGAGGGAACAGAAAACTGACGAAGATAAGCTGGGGCTTGCAAAATTTCCAAGGCACGAAAACGACCCACTGGGCTCTTACCCCACCCACCCACTCGTGGCTCGTCCAGACGGTGTCTGTCTGCACCAGAAGAACTCGCCCCCTCAACTGCTCACAGAAGTCACACTCCACACACAGAGTCTGCACAATGCTCCCTAAAAACACAGTACTTACAAAAATAAACAAAAATGAAATAAGTGTACAGGATTACTACTCACATTCTACGTAGTGTATATAGTACTCCACTGAAGAAGCATCCACAAACTCAACTCCTTTGTTCGCCAGCGCCGCTCCTGCTGCTCCCGAACCGGTTGCTTCTAAACCTGGTGTCGAGCCAGCCTCTTTGCCATCCCTATCGGCAGCACGTCTGGTGGTTACCACCTCTCCAGCATCTGCAAGGAGAACGAGGGAGGGGAATCAGCTTGGTTGCGCCAATGATTGAGTTTGCTACTTTTCCCTGCTCCTGACTCGTCGTGCTCTCAGCATTTTTCATCACCCACAGAAGGGATTGGTAGAGGTTACAAAAAAGCGCTACACCACTCACGGTAGAGGTTGTCCCAGGACGCGAGGCATGCCACCCGCGACCCCGCAGGGAGCACCGCTCGACGGCCGGACCCCATCTTTAAGTCGTCGATCTCCCAAACCACAGGCACTCGTTGGATGAAGGGCTCTGCTCCGTTCGTCGCAATAGCATTGTTCGACGGCTCAACGACAGCTCGACGGCTTGACGGCGCTCGCAATCTATCATCCCAGCTCGTTACTCGCAAAGATCACACCAGATTCTGCAGAGCCGACGCTTCTTTTAATGTGCCCGCTGCTACCTACCACAGAGATACCCCGGAAAGTCTGGGTTAGTCATGGAGCCTCCTAGAATCTGAGTTACCAAAAGGCGACTGTTCCTAAGGAGGAATGTGGATTCCTCGGGATATACGACGGACACGACGGACAGAACCCGTATGTTCCAACCAAGTGTTAAAAGCTTGATATCGGGTAACCCACAAAGTGTCGCACAACTGCACAGAAGAGTGCCCCAGGTTGCAACGACTGGTTGGCCACCCACAAACTGGTTTGGCGGTATGCGCAGGCACGTGCCAAAGCTAGCATGGGTTCGTACACTCAGGAAGGTAACAAAGCGAGCCCTGGAAACGAAAGCTGGAAAACATGTCGGCCGGACTCTGCTGTGATAATGACGAATCTTTAAGGGCGCGTGTGATATTTGAAATTTGTAATATTTACATTTTTACTAGTTGTTACTTTTGATTTTAGGTCGAACAACGCTGTGATCGATGTTCGAACTTTAACCCAATTTTTTTGATCAGGTCACAATGACACACCCAAGCTCGAATGTGGAAATTCGAGTTCATACGAAGCGCGCCGGGCCACACGTAGGGGGTGTAGGTTACCCAATATAGTGCGCAACGTCAATCTATTGGGCGTCGAAGAGGTTACCACGCGTTTCGAATCTCGTGAGTTTCGTCGGATTCGTCTATTCATCGTGAGTGCCAAAAACAACACACGTTTGACAAACGTGCGCTCGCACGTTTATGTACAAATTCGAGTCCCGTTCGCGGATCGTGACTCGGCTATTACTGTGGTAAGCGATTGACGTTTTTTCGTAAGATACTGATGGCGACATTAACGAATCTGGTAACCATCAAAAGTTCGAGAGGTTTGAAGAACATTGGAAAAATATCACACGCGCCCTAAGCCTACTCTCCCGCAGTTTGAATGGGGTACCAGAGCGCACGGCCCGTGGCGATGGAAGAGGTACGTCAGTGCTGCTACGACGGGGCAGAAACTTGGCGGGGAGAAGGTGGCCTTTGGTTTGGAGGGAATGTCGAGCTTGGTCGGAATCCCTTTGTTTTCTCATAACAGATGAGCAAATTCCAGTTACTTCTAGTCTGTTTCAAAGTTGTTCTTGCTTCGTCGAAGGGATTTCGAGCCCGCATTCGCGACATGTTTCAGTTGGCGTTTCACAAAGTTCTGGGATTTCTGTACTGAACTAGGACTGTCAGAATGGTGAAATGAAAACGGCCTCTACAATTCTTGTCTGGCAGGACAGCTGCTAGGTACACTAGAAATGACTTTAAAAACAACAAACAGGTACACTAGAAATGACTTCAATAACAACAAACAGGTACACCAGAAATGACTTCAATAACAACAAACAGGTACACTAGAAATGACTTCAATCACAACAAACAGAGCCTGATTTTATATCCTCCATCCCAACAGCCAGTGCTATAATTTGAGCTTCTTGTAGAAGTTTGCAACACCCACCCGTCAAGCCATAACGCAACCATCTCCGTCCATCTACCCGCGTCTCCACTCTTAACCATCGCGAGAGTCCAGGCACAAATACTTCAATCGTTAGTTTTACTACGTGCATGAGCTTGCGGTCATGCTTCCACACCATTACAATTTACGCCCATCCATCTTAACTCCAACCATCAATGATAGTATGATAGCACAAGTCCTCTAGGTGGGAAAACAGCCCCTCACTCCACCTCCTGCTCCTGTCTCGTCAAGCCACAACAATCGCCCCACACTCCATATCAATGACAACCGGTATGACTCCCCACCTCGCTCCACCTTTCTCTGCCTTACTCTATCCCTCTCCTGCCCTTCACCTCTATCCTTTACTCCACCTCTCGCCCTCCACCTGCACCTGTCTCGTCAGATACAACACTGAGTCTCCATCCATACCCCATCCCAATAGCACCTAACTACTCATCTCCCCAGCACTACACCACTTCCATTTCCTCATAGGAAACATCTCCCCTCCCCACTCCCTGCACTCACTTCTATCGTCGGCCTCCTTCCTCCCATTCCTCACTTCACCTGCACCTGCCTCGCCAGGTGAACTACTAACTCCCCATACCCCATAAGTGACTCTCATCTCTCCACCTTTCTCCACTACACTCCACCTCTTTCCCTCACTTCACCTGTACCTGTCTCGCCAGGTGTACCACAAATTCCCCATAACCCATTCCTGTAGCACTCCTATCCTCCACGAACGAATGGTAGAACGCCAGCTCACCACTGCCGCCCTGCCGCAACAGCTGCACCGCTTGATGACAAACCTCGCCACCCCCTCTGCTGCCGTTGCCGCCCGGGAAATCCCCGCTGCGCAGGGCATCGACTATGGCTGAGATTCGGGCGGCAAGTGGGCTGTCGGGCGGAGGAATGAAGGGAACCTGGCAGAAAACAAATGCAAGGGAAGGAGGAAGGAGACGCAGGAAAAAGGGAAAGGGAGAGAAGGGAAAAGGAAGTCATGTTGCAAAGGGGAAAGAGGGACCGAATGAAGAAATTGACGAAATCAAGAGCGAGCAGAGGAGGATGCCGAGAAAACGTTAGAGTCGACTCAAAAGTCACTTCATAAGAAGAACGACGCAAGAGCAGACCAATAAAGCGGAGGCGCACCCAGAACACTAGTACAGAGAATATTTTGTAGGCGCCTAAAAAATTGCACCCAGAACACTAGTACAGAGAATATGGCGTACTAGCATTGTCATCGGGCGTACTAGACCATAGCTTTGTCAGGAATCTGGCGTATTAGACTTAGTCGGGGACCATAGCATTGTCAGGAATCCGGCGTACTAGACTTACATCAGGGACTTCATATAGCTTAGGAATTTGCCGTACCAGGCTTATATCGGGGGCGTTCAGAGCGTCCTGCCCCACGATCTGGGCGGCGGTGCCAGCTGGCAGCGCGCCGCCCAGCCAGAGCGTGAGGCCGGTGCTGTCGTCCAATAGGAACGCGCCCTGCGGGTCGAGCGATGACGTGGCGAGCGGCAGGGCGCGGGGGAGGGTGATGAGGCCAGCTGCGTCTTGCACCCCGCACTGCACGTGGGCGAGGGCGGTGGAGGGGGAGAGGGCGGTGGAGGGGGAGGGGGAGGGGGAGGGGGAGGGGGAGGGGGGGGGAGGGGGAGGGGGGGGGGGAGGGGAGAGGGGGAGGGGAGAGGGGGAGGGGAGAGGGGGAGGGGAGAGGGGGAGGGGAGAGGGGGAGGGGAGAGGGGGAGGGGAGGGGGGGAGGGGAGAGGGGGAGGGGAGAGGGGGAGGGGAGAGGGGGAGGGAGAGGGGGAGGGGAGAGGGGGAGGGGAGAGGGGGAGGGGAGAGGGGTGGTTTTGAAGAAGCATCGATGCATTCAACTGACAACCCACATTGCTGGAGGGGGATGGAGATGAGAGGTGAGAGCAGCTAGGGACTGGCATGCCATGCCATGCCATCACCCTGGCAACCCCAAGGCTGACCTGACCATCACTCAAGGCCCTCTCACCTGTGCCGGCATCACATCTACTCGTACGAGACGCGGGTACAGCATCCTGAGAGCCCGCCCCACCGACACCGCCTCACCAGTCCTGGCATGGGCGTACACAGCCGTCTCTCACCTGTCCTGCCATCACATCTACTCGTATGAGCCGAGG